TGACTTTGCTGAGATGCTAAGCTTGGGGTCCAGCACAGTAAACTGCCCCTGCATGTGGCACTATTATGGGAAGGGAAAGGAGACAGCCAAGAGGGAAGGTAGCTGGCCACAGGACAGAAGTAGAAAAAAAATTAAAGGTGTTTCAGAAGCCCTGTTTAAGGCCAGTGGCAGAAATGTGGAGGGAAGAAGGCACTTGAGGCCAAGCAAAGATTTTTGCAGAAAAACAGGCTTCTGTTTCTGCTTTTATCTGAAGGATCTGGGCAGGAGATCACTTACCAACCAAGAGGTCCAAGGTTTCCTCTCACCAGGGAATAAAAGGAAGGCATGAAAATTGGACCCTGAAGTGCAGTTCTCAGGCTGTCACAGTGAATGCTAGCTATGTGAAGATACACAGTAATTCAAGCATACTGAACCAGTCAGTATGAGGAAGACCAGAATGCCCATTGTATGTTGACCATGTCCTTCACCTTTGGGCATTAGGTAACTGCAAGAAAGTGACCAGTGTTTCATGCAGCTGTTCAGATAAAAGTGGCCTGAGGCAGACAAACACAGATATGATCACTGAATGTACAGATAGATGCGGATCAGGAACGGATACAAGGTTACCAGTACCATGAGGCTGTAATTTTACACATTAAGGAGCAGACCACTGAAGCCAGTCCACAAGATGTGATAATTTATAATTGGATCGTGGCTGTGACAGGTGGGGATCAGGGTGCATGACAAGGAAGGCATGAGTGAAATCAGGCAAAGGAAAAAAAGACACCAATCTAGACACAGAATGGACATCCATTCATTATCTGAGGGAGGCTGTGTGAGAGTCAGGGACAGACAACAAGGACTACAGTTGGGGCAGCGTTAGAGCAGACCATGGCAGGGTGACTGTGTCAAGAGAGCTTCAGAATCACTCCAGCTTTTAGGAAGCTGCACACAAAGACCTCCATGCTACGGGCCAAACTCACCCAGTCTCATGTGGCTGACACAGTCCTATGTGTCCCTTCCGCCTAAGATCAACACACACACTCAGGCCCCTCGGGGGGATGACCTCCTACATGTACAGGCCCTAGTTCTATTTCTCAGTCCTCTGCCAAGCAGAGCTCATTGACTGCCATCTCTGTGCATTCAGCTTCTGAGCAACATGGTAGCTGCATTCAGCAGAGCTGATGAATAGCCAGGCCCAGGCATGGACAGGACGTGAAAGGAGAGGGAACACTTCAGTAATAGCAGAGCAGAAAAATATATAAGTCTCCTTCCATGTTCATGATGGCCATGAGCTCACAACCTCCAGCCCCTCAATCAGAAAGCAGATAAGGGCTTCAAATGTCTTCATACATAACTGACACCAGGTCACAAGTCTGAAAGCTCAGACCACACAGGACCATAGCATGGTTCCTGGGTCAGTTACCAGGATCCATTCTATGAGGTATTGATCCAAGATAAATTTCCTCTTGAAATTATCATAAATTTCTACATTGGAAAATTTTCAACACGACCAAGAGACAGGTAAATAACAAAGATTTCAATGGTGCCATCAAATTTAACAAATTTTTGATTTATTTTGCTACTTTAATTCACTCAGAATGACTCCTCTTATTCTTGATACTTTGACAAATCTGCCAGACATCATTTCTTTCCACTTGGAAGTATCTCATTTCCTCTGGATAGATGACAGCGTAACTATAACATGATTGTCATACCTATGCACAAATTATCAATAACAAGTTAATATACAAATAATCCAGGTCTGCACAAATGTCTCACATGTCCTAAGAGTCTTCATTGATTGTGTTTGTAGTGTTGTTTCTCTGTGGATGTAACTTTCTGGGTAGGAAGATGATATGGTATTTCAAATTGTCTCGATGCTGGTGATCTAGGCCTGATGTCACCTGCTAAAATTTCCAGCCTGCTTTCATAGTTCATTGCCAGGTGGGCTTTCTGGAAACCAAACAAGAAGTCTTGGGAATGTCCACGGTCACTGTACAGCCCTCGGCCTCAGTAAACTCTCCCCACATGGTTCTCTCTGCTTCATCTTTTCCTTCAAATTACTTCTTCCTTAGACAGGACGAAAAGTGTACAGGGAAATTTCAGGGAGGCCATCGTTTTACCAGGACAGGGGGTTCTTCTAAGAGAGCCACCGTGTACTTGTGTTATTTCAGAGTGACTTTACCTATAGTCATGCAGAACACACAAGTCCAAGGGAGGCTGCTCCCATCACAGGTGCAGATGGGGGATTGAAGGGGGGAGGTGCACAAGGCCAGCAGAGGTTTTTGCAAAAGTCTGTGTCACAGTGTGTTGTGTTCGGTGGAGGAACCAGGCTGACGGTCCTAGGTAAGTGACTCCTTCTCCCTCTCTCTTGCTGCTTCCTATCGTGTGACACAGTTTTCTGCTGTTTTGTGAGCTGCTTCTATGATGAATTTCACACTTTGGGCTGATGTTAACACAGCACTTGTCTGTGGATACCGACCTCTTCTCTCACTGTTTAGCCCTTCATGCTTGTCTTTAGCTGGCCATAAGTACTCTTGCCCTATCATTTCAGATGAAGGGTCTCAACAGGATGACCAACTAAGATTCATCTGCCTCCGTCTATCTCTCTACCTATCTATCTGTCAGTCTCACTGTGTGTGTGTCAGTCTGTCATTCTTACTTGGTATGTGTAGGAAAGATGTAGTTTGCTAGCCTCTTTCCTTGGCCATGTCTGCCTTTGTATCTGCTGAGCTTTGTGTAGTGATCATTCTGATGATGTAGCCTGCAGTTTTATCACAGGAAAAACAGGAGAAAAGGGTCACTGAGGGTCTAAACTGCAGAATTCAGAAAGACCTAGAACAGTAAGAACTGAGATTATGAAACTACAGGTTAGAGGACACATCCAGTTCCCTGTGCAGGCCACATAAAGATACATGATCAGGAACAAGGTGATAGGTAGAAGGGATCTCCATGCCTACACATGGAGAGAAATTTGAGCCAGCATAGGAAATAAGAAACAAAGAAGAAGGAGAGGAGAAACCTCAGGACCTAAGGGAGACAGGACAGGGGAGATTCAAAGCTACACAAGTTTGTTCTTGGATCTCTGAACACTACACTGCTCAGAAAGACAATTCCATCAGTTTACAGATGAGCTGGGGCCACATGTCCAAGCCACAGGTCTGATACGACATGGGAGTTTGAAGCATCTTGTTTAGGGAGGACTCAAGGACAAGCCAAAGTGAACTTCACTGGAAGCCAGGCATGGGGTGAAGCCTGTCTTTTTGATGGGCAGGACACTGAGGCTGCAGAGGCTGCCAAAGGAAGAGTCACATCACTCTAGGGAAGCTACTGGAAGGGTTTCTATAATGGCCTCATCTAGACTACTGTTTAAGGTACTTGAGTAGTACATGGGGGACGATTTCAAGGTACTCAAGATGATCACTATAGGAAGAGTCACAGAGACTTTGTGTGGGTGGATTCAAAGCATTATTTCTACCTCTTCTGACTCAGAAACCTCTTGTATTGGCACAGGTCAGCCCAAGTCTCCCCCCACAGTCAGCCTGTTCCCGCCCTCCTCTGAGGAGCTCCAGGACAACAAGGCCACAGTGGTGTGTCTCCTGAATTCCTTCTACCCTGGCTCTGCGAAGGTCAGCTGGAAGGCAGATGGCACCACCATCAACCAGGGCGTGCAGACAACACAGCCTGCCAAACAGAGCGACAACAAATACATGGCCAGCAGCTACCTGACCCTGACTCCCGACCAGTGGAGGTCTCACCGGAGAATCAGCTGCCAGGTCGAACACGAGGCAGGCAATGTGGAGAAGAGTTTGGCCCCTTCAGAGTGTTCCTAGGACTCCGACCTCAGCCTCTCCTCGGGGGGCTCATGTAGGACTCTGTGAAAGAGTCCTCTTTGCTACCCCATCTTCTCCTGACTTTCTCTTTGTAGCCATTATGGCTCAATAAACTGTCCCTTGTCGATCAGAGCCTCTATTTTGTCTCATTTCTTTCATCCATTACTTCCTTTTCAAACACCTCACAATTCTCCAGTAGCAAAATGAGTAACACTTCACACACTGAATAGTGCATCAGCTTAGAAAGTGCTCAGATAAACACCTCTTACCAGAAATCTCCACTGTATTTCTATGGCACCTACCGTGAAAACTCACACCAGGCATGTCTCATATGTGCCTCCATGCTTACCTCCTCCATAAGGACCCAATCTTATAACCGTGAAATTTTTTCCAAGTGCCATTGATAACCAGTCACAGCTCTACACTTAAGGTCATGCTCTGGGATAGCAGCAGTTCGCCTGTGAGATGCCACCTCCCTGTCACCCCCTCACTACTATTACTTGAGTGAGTTCCCTCAGCTAGAAGGAATGGGATCCTGCACAGTACACTGTTCCTGCCAAATGGCCCTGCTCAGGGAAAGGAAGGGGTCCTGCAAGACAGAAAGTAGCTGGCTGTGGTACAGAAGGAAAGAGAAATTAAGAGGGTCATGGGAGCCCATTTTAGACAAAACACCAAAATGTGGAGGGAAGAAGGTATTTGAGATTAAAAAAGGTTTTGGTAGAAAAAGATCCTTCTATATCTGCTTTTATCTGAGGGATCTCTCAGGAGATCACTTATCAGCCAAGAGAGCCAAAGTTTCCTATCATCAAGGCACCACTTTAAGGCGTGAAAAATGGAACTTGCAAGTCCTTGTCTCAGGCTTTCACAATGAATAACAATGAAATGAAAATACACAATAATTCTGGGGTCAAAAAGCAGTCAATATGAGGAAGCCAACCATACCCACCATATGTTGACCATCTCCTTCAACTTTGAACATTCTGTAACTACCAGAAAGGGACCAATGATTCATGCAGCTGTTCAGGGAAACATGGCCTCAGCAGGAGGCCCAGAGAGGTGATCACTGTCTGTCTAAACCATGAGGATCAGGTTCAAGGTTGCTGGTAGCATGACGCTATCATTTCATTCATTAAGGAGCATATCACAAAAGCCACTCAGTAGGACAACATCATTTATGATTGGTTCATGGCCACAGCCAGGTGAGGATCGCCTGTATGACAAGGAAGATGTGAGTGAAATCAGGCAAAGGAGAAAAGACACCAATATAGAAACAGAATGGACATTCATTCATTATCTGAGAGAGGCTATGTGAGAGTCGGGGCCAGACAGCAGGACTAGAGTGGGGCTGGGTCCCGAGATCTTCAGGAAACAGATAGACTGCAGCTTCAGTCCAACCTTCAGGAAGCTACAGACCCAGACCTCAATCCCACCAGGCCAAACTCTCACACTCTCATGTGATTGACACAGCCCTATCTGTACGCTCAGCCTAAGGTCAAGACACACACTCTCGGGCTCCTGCTGGGATGACCTCCAATATGTACAGGTCGAGTACTATTTCTCAGTCCTATGGCTAGCTGAGATCACTGACTGCAATCTCTGTGCATTCAGCTTCTGAGCAACATGGTAGCTGTGTTCAGCAGAGCTGAGGAAAAGCCAGGAATAGTCACAGACAGGACTTGAAAGGAGAGGAAACACTTCAGTAATAGAGCAGAGAAATAGATAGGTCTCCTTCCACATTCATTTTGGCCATGAGCTCATACCCACCAGCCTTTCAATCAGAAAGCAGATGAGGGCTTCAAATGTCCCATAACACTTGCCTGATACAAGGTCACAAGTCTGAAAGTTCAGCCCGCACAGGACCACAGTAATGCTCTCTGGGTCAGTCCATTCAAAGATGGATTGGGTACTGACCCAAGAAAAAATTCCTCTTGATTTTAGCACAAATTTCTATACTCAAAAACTATCAACACAACCAAGAGACCGTGGAATTCGAAAACCCTTCCATGGTACCATCAACACCTGGAAAATTAATGCATTTTGTTGACATTTTAATTCACCTACATCAGAATGACTCTTTTTTTACTTGATACTTTAAAGAAAGTTCCAGATATTACTTCTTTCCACCATTATTTAAGGAAATATTACATGAGGAAATATTTTGCTTCCTTCTGGAAAGAGGAGAGCATAACTGTGATAACTGATTATAAAACCTAAGCACAAACTATCAATCATAACATATAAATAATCCAGGGCTCCACAAATTTCTCACAAATGTCCTAAGAGTCTTTCTTAGTGGGGTTAGCCGTGTTGTTTCTCTGTGGATGCATACTTCCAGGCAGGAAGAGGAAATGACATTTCAAATTGCATTTGCTGTGGGTGTTCTTATCATAAAGTCACCTGCTAGAATTCCCAGGCTAGTTTCATTGTTCCTTGCCAAGTGAGCTTTCAAGAAACCAACCTGCTGGTCCTGGCAATGTCCACATTACTGGACACCCCCTAGACTCAGTGAAGTGTCCCAACATGTTTCCTGCTGTTTCTCTTTTCCCTTCAAATTAGTTGTTACATAGAGAGGATGAAAAGTGTACAGACAACTATCAAGGGGGCCATCGGTTTATTAGGACAGAGGGCTCTTCGAATAGAAGCAAAATGCATTTCAAGCATCTCACAATAACTTTCCTACAGTTATACAGGACACATAAGACAAAGAGAAGCTGCTCCCAGCACAGCTGCAGCTGGGGGTCAGGGAGGGGCAAGGTCAGGAGAGGTTTTTGCACCACTCTGTGTCACAGTGTGTTATGTATTCGGTGGAGGAACCAAGCTGACCGTCCTAGGTAAGTGACTTCTGCACCTCTCTTTTGCAACCCATAATTTGAGATGATTTTCTGCTGTTTTGTGAGCTGCTGCTGTGCTGAGGCTCAGCCTGGGCTCAGACTTTCTCCCAGTATTTTGGCTGTGGATGCTGACCTCTTCTCTCCCTGCTCAGACCTTCATGCTTGCCTTAGCTGGTCAGCAGCGCTCCATCCTCCTCAACGCAGAACAAGGGACTGAACAGGATGACCAACTAAGGCTCATCTGTTTACGTCTATCTCTCTGTCTGTCTCTCTGTCAGTTTCGGTGTGTGTGTCAGTTTGTCTATCTTAGTTGGTGCATGTATGAAGGATATAGTTTTCTACCCTCTTACCTTGGCCATGTCTGTCTGTCATTCTGATAAGCTTTGTGCAATGTACATGCTGATGATGCAGATTGCAGCTTTATCATGAGAAACAAGAGAAAAGGGACAGTGAGGGTCTGATCTGGCAAGTTTAAAAAGACCTAGAACAGTAGGGTTGAGATTACAAATTCACAATTTAGAGGATACATCCAGTTCCTGTGGGGACAACTAAAGATCCAGATTCAGGAACAAGGTGAGAAGTAGAAGGGATCCCCATGTCTAAACACAGATTAGGACTCTGAGGCAATTTATGGATTAATAAACTTTGAAGAAAGGTTAGAGAAAACTCATGAGTTAAGGGAGCCAGGAAAGACAGATTAAAAGCTACACAAGTTTGCTCCTGGGTCTCTGCACCCTACACTGCTCAGAAACACTATTCCATGAGTTTATAGATGAGCTGTATCCAATCCACAGTCTGATATCAGACTGGAATTAGAAACATCTTGTTTACAAAGGACATAACAAAAGGACAAAGTGAACTTCACCGGAGCCAGGCCTGGGGTGAAGCCTGTCCTTTTGACAGGCAGGGCGCTCAGGCTGCAAAGGCTGCCAAAGGAAAGTGGGTCACATCACTCAAGGGATGCTATTTGGGAAGGGTTTCTCGAATGGTCCAAGCTAGGTCTCTCTTTAGGGATCGTAAGTGGTCCATTGAGGAGGATTTCAAGGTGCTTAAGATGATCACTATAGGAACAGTCACAGAGACTTTGTGTGGGTGGATTCCAAACATCACTTTTACCTCTGCGAAGTCACAATTCCTCTTGTATTGGCACAGGTCAGCCCAAGTCTGCTCCCACAGTCAGCCTGTTCCCACCCTCCTCTGAGGAGCTCCAGGACAACAAGGCCACAGTGGTGTGTCTCCTGAATTCCTTCTACCCTGGCTCCGTGACAGTCAACTGGAAGGCCGATGGCAACACTATCACCCAAGGTGTGCAGACCACACAGCCTGTCAAACAGAGCGACAACAAATACATGGCCAGCAGTTACCTGACCCTGACTCCCGACCAGTGGAGGTCTCACCAGAGAGTCAGCTGCCAGGTCACACACGAGGCAGGCAATGTGGAGAAGAGTTTGGCCCCTTCAGAGTGTTCCTAGGACCCCGACCTCAGCCTCTCCTCTGGCGGCTGAAGTAGAAGAACTCTGAGAAAGAGTCTCTTTGCTACGCCCCCCCTCTCCTGACTTTCTCTTTGAACCCATTATTGCTCAATAAACTGTCCCTTGTCAATCAGAAGTTCTGCTTTGTCTCATTTCTTTCATCCATGACTTCATTTTCAAATACCTCACAGTTCTCCAGTAGGAAACTGGGTACCATTGAACCACTGCACAGCACATCACCTTGGAAAGTGCTCAAGTAGACATCTCTCATCCTAAGCCTCCACTGTACCTCTGAGGCACCTCTCTTGCATCCCACACCAAGCATGTCTAATACGCTCCTCCATTCTTCTGTCCTACGTAAAAACCCAATCTTCTACCATGCAATTTGTCCCAAGTGCCTTTGATAACCAATCACACGTCTACTGTTAAGGTCATGCTTTCGGATAGGGGCAGTTTCCATGGGAGATGCCACCTCCCAGTCACCCCCTCACTACTACTCCTAAAGTGGCTTCCCTAAGCTGGTAGGACTGGCATGCAGCACAGTAAACTGTTCCTGCAAAATGGGCTTGCTAGAGGAAGGGAAGGGGGACCAGCAACAGAGAAGGTCCTGGCCATAGTACAGAAGTAAAGAGAAATTAAGAGTGTCTCATGAGTCCTGTTTCAAGCAAGAGGCAGAAATGTGGAAGGAAGAAGATACTTGAGGCCAAGAAAAGGATTTTGCAGAAAAAGAGCTTCTCTTTCTGCTGTTATATGAGGGATCTACACAGGAGATCACTTATCAGCCAAGGGGTCCAAAGTTTCCCATCACCAGGGAACGATGGGAAGGCATGGACAATGGTACCTGAAAGTGCATTTCTCAGGCTGTCACAGTGAATGCTTGCTAAGTGAACGTACAGAATAATTCTGTGGTCGAGAAGCAGTCAGTATGAGGAAGCCCAGTGTGCCCACCATATGTTGATTATCTCCTTCACCTGTGGGCATTCTGTAATTGCCTGAAAGAGACCAGTGTTTCATGCAAGCTGTTCAGGGAAACCTGGGCTGAGGCAGAGGCACACAGAGGTGATCACTGTATGTCCAGGTACATGTGGTTCATGTCCCAATACAAGGTTCCAAGTACCATGAAGCTGTGATTTCACCCGTTAAGGAGCAGACTACAAAAGCCAGTCTGTAGGATGAGATAATTTATGATTGGATCATGAATAGAGCCAGGTGAGGATCAGTCTGCATGACAAGGAAGGCATGAGTGAAACTGGGCAAAAGAGAAAAGACACCAATCGAGACACAGAATGGACATGCATTCATTATCTAAGGGAGGCTGTGTAAGAGTTAGGGCTAGACACAAGCAATAGATTTGGAGGCAGGTTAGAATAGACCTTGGCAGGGTTACTGTGTCAAGAGAGCTTCAGAAGTACTCCAGCATTCAGGGAGCTACAAATGCAAACTTCAATCCCATCAGGGCAAACTCACCACTCTCATGTGACTGACACAGTCCTATGTGTACCTTCAGCCTAAGGTCAAGACACACACTCAGGCCCCTGCTGGTGTGACCTCCTACATGCACAGGCCCGAGTACTATTTCTCATCCTCTGGGCTAGCAGAGTTCACTGACTGCACTCTCTGTTCATTCAGCTTCTGAGCAACATGGTAGCTGCATTCAGCAGAGCTGAGGGAATAACCAGGCCCAGGCACAGACACTTGGGTAATAGCAGAGCAGAGAAACAGATAGGTATCCTTCCACATTCATGGTGGCCATGAACTCACAACCTCCAGCCTCTGAATCAGAAAGATTCAGATGAGAGCTTCAAATGTCCCCTAGCACTTGTCTGATACTGGTTCACAAGTCTGAAAGCTCAGACCACACAGGATCACAGCACTCCACCTGGGGTCCATTACCAGGATCCATTTGCTAGTTCGGTAGTTACCCAAGATAATTTATCATAAAATAAATTAAATAAATAAATATTTAATTCATCATAAATTTCTACATTGGAAATTTTCAACACAAACAAGAGGCAGGACCAAAGACTTCTATGGTGTCATCTACAGCTGTCAAATTAATGAATTATTTTTATATTTTAATTCATCCACATCAGAATGTCACTTCTTTTACTTGATACTTTGAAGAAAGTTCCAGTTATTACTTCTTTCTACTTGGAAAAATTCTACTTCCTTCCCAGAAAAATGATAGCATAACTATATTATGATTGTCAAACCTAAGGACAAATTATCAATAATAATATAAGCAGTCCAAGTCTCCACAAATCCTTCACAAATGTCCTAAGACTTTTCGTTACTTAGGTTTGCAGTGTTATTTCTCCGTGGATGTACCCTTCTGGGTAGAAAGATGAAATGACATTTCAAATTGTGTTTGCTGCAGATATTCTTGGCCTGATGTCATTTGCTAGAATTCCCAGCCCACTATCTCAGTTCCTTGTCAGGTAGGCTCTCCAGAAACCAAGCTGCTGGTCCTGGGAATGTCCAGGGGCATTGCACAGCCTTCAGCCTCCATGAACTCTCCCTGCCTGCTACCTTCTGCTTCTGCTTTTTCTTCAATGTAGCTCTTCCATAGAGAGGATGAAAAGGATACAGGTGAATTTTAGGGAGGCATTCATTTACTAGGTAAGGGGGCTCTTCCAAGAGAGGCACCGTGCAGCTGAGGCATCTCCCAGTGACTTTCCCTATAGTCACCCTGGACACACTGGTCACAGAAAGGCTACTTGCCACACAGCTGCAGCTGGGGGCCAGGGAGGGGCAAGGCCAGGAGAGGTTTTTGCACCAGTCTGTGCCACAGTGTGATACGTATTCGTTGGAGGGACCAAGGTGACCGTCCTCGGTAAGTGATGCCTTTTCCTCTCTCTTGGTACACCTATGATTTGAGATATTTTGCTGCTGTTTTGTGAGCTGCTTCTGTCTGTGTCTCAGCCTGGGTTCAGACTTTGTCCCAGCATTTTGGTTGTTGGTCCTGACCTCTTCTATCCCTGCTTATTCCTTCATGCTTGCCTTAGCTGGTCATTAGCAATCCTTTTCCTCTAAGCTGTGAGGTAAGGACTAAACAGAATGAATGACAAAGTCTCATTTTTCTAACACTGTCTTCGTTTCTGTGTGTGTCCGTTTCTATCCATTTCTCTGCCTGCCTGCCTGGCTGCCTATCTCTGTCTGTCAGTCTGTCCTACTCCATGGATGGGTATCTCAAAAGTACATTTTTCTATCTTCCTTCATTTGCCATGTCTGTCCATCTATCTTATCTGTCTGTCAGATGAGTTTTGTGAGTGTGTAAACTGAGGTCCTATCACACAAAAAATGGATTAAAAGTGACACAGATGTGAGGCCTGGTGAATTTAGAAAGACTAGAGTACTAAGGGCTGTGGTTAGGAAAGGACAGGATAGAAGCTCAAGTCTGTTTCCTGTGCTGGCCGCTAAGGATCCAACATCAGGAGCAGGTGAGAGTAGAAGTGATCCCCAACCCACTAAGGGGATCAGAACTCTGAGCCAAAATGGGAACTGAGAAACTTAGAGAAAAGAAGGGAGAAATCTCTAGACCTAAGGGAGCCAAGACAGGAGTGATTAAAGTCTATAGTTATAAAGTGAGCTCCTCAGTCTCTGCGAGATGTGCTTCTCAGAAGAACCAGTCCCCGAGTTTACAGATGAGCAGGTATAAGGTATTCAATCCACAAGTCTGACATTTAGACCACGGTTAGAGACATCCTGTTCAGACAGGGGAAAAGTGAACTGCAATGGAGGGCTGACCTGATGTGAAGCCTTGTGAATTAAGGCAAGATTCTAGACTCAGATGCCAGAGAACAGAGGGAACACATCACAGCCTGCACTTTTGACAGTCAGGATGCTGAGGATGCAGAAGCTGCCTACAGGAAGGGAGTGGTTGTGGTCACCTTAGAGAAGCAACTTGGGAAAAGTTTCAGGAAAGCTCAAAGGCTGACTGCTATCTAAGGATCTCAGGTGGTCAGTGGAGGAAGGTCTCAAGAAACACAAATGGTCTCAATAGGTCAATCACAGAGAGTTTCTATAGATGGATACAAATATCTACTTCACCTTTGCTGACTCACATTCCTCTTGTATTGGTACAGGTCAGCCCAAGTCTGCCCCCACAGTCAGCCTGTTCCCGCCCTCCTCTGAGGAGCTCCAGGACAACAAGGCCACAGTGGTGTATCTCCTGAATTCCTTCTACCCCGGCTCTGCGAAGGTCAACTGGAAGGCAGATGGCACCACCATCAAACAGGGCGTGCAGACCACACAGCCTGCCAAACAGAACGACAACAAATACATGGCCAGCAGCTACCTGACCCTGACTCCCCACCAGTGGAGGTCTCACCAGAGAATCAGCTGCCAGGTCGAACACGAGGCAGGCAATGTGGAGAAGAGTTTGGCCCCTTCAGAGTGTTTCTAGGACCCCGACCTCAGCCTCTCCTCTGGGGGCTGAAGTAGAAGGACTCTAAGGAAGAGTCTTCTTTGCTACTCCCCCCCCACTCCTGACTTTCTCTTTGAACCCTTTGTTGCTCAATAAACTGTCCCTTATTAATCAAAAGTTCTGCTTTGTCTCATTTCTTTCATCTGTGACTTCATTTTAAAAACCTCCAGTAGGAAAGTAGATACCACTTAAAGCATTGCATGGTGCATCATCCTAGAAAGTGCTGAGCTAGACATCTATTTCCCTAAATCTCCACTGTACCCCCTGAGGTGCCCACCTTGCAACTCACTCCAGGCATACCTCATATGCTCCTCAATTCTTGTCTCCTCAACAAAGACCTAATCATGAGTTATGCAACAATTCCTATGTGCATCGGTAACGAGTCATGGCTCTTCTCTGAAAAGTCATTGCTCTGGGTCACGGTCAATTCCACTGTGATGAGCTGTCTCAAGGCCACAGTTATATGACTGATGAACAACTTCTACACAGGCACTGTGTCAGTCCCCTCGAAGACCAATGGCACCACTGTTATCCATGTTATCGAAACCAAAGCTCCCTCAATAGAGCACCAAGTAGTCCATGGCCTGCAGCTACCTGACCCTTACAGCTGATCAGCTGAAATCCCACAGCAGATTCAGCTTCCAGATCACGCATGCATTTAATTACTGTAGCAAATATCTTGTCCCCTGCAGAATGTTCTTGGGTCCCTATACATCTCCTCATTTTTAGCAACAGTTGCTAAATAACTGGGAGATGTATCTGCCCTCCTACATAAGCCATTCCAGCCCTTCTCTATGAACTCAATGAATGCTCAATAGTTTTTTCATTGTCTAACAAAAACACTGCTCCTTGTCATGTGTTCAATTTTTATATTTAAATTTCAAGTTTTTCAGTGTGGGGGTAAAAAGCAATTCTAACACCCAGTGCAAAATCAGATGCCACTTGCAGCTACCTTTCAGCATGATCCCAAAAAAGGGACGTCATCAACCATTTGCCCATTTCTTCAATTCTTCACTGTATCTGTTAACCCTTGGGCTTGCAAGTTGGCAAAAATGAATCTCAATACCCTCCCAAAGAGAATCTCTTCAAGGAAACCTAATCATATATCCTTCCCACATTGTAATATGCCACCCAATGTCCAAACATATTTGTAGATTGTGGGGTCCCTGCTGAGAGACAATGGCAGTTCCACTGTAAGCTGCCATCTCCCAGGCATCCCACTCACTCTCCAGGCTGTGTGTGAACTCCCTATGTCAGGGAAACTGTGATCCCAAACAGGAAGCTCTTCCTGCAGAGTAGCTCCTGGGATAAAGTCTTTGCCTGTCTAGAAATAGAGGAACAACAAGAAAAGAAACACATTTGTGACCAAGACAAAAATCAGAGAGAAATAAGATGACGCCATGAGACTATACATGGCTGGAGGCATAAGGGGGCCAAGGTTATGGTTTGGCAGGAACACAACTGGAAATTTTGCCATTATAAGACCTACTCAAGGAAGTATTTGCCACATAAGGATCCACGACTATGATCACATTAGCAAATCATGGAGGGTTTGGAGGATGAAACAGGCAGGGGCGTTAATCAGACATTCATAATGTTCAGCAGGCTAAGTAAGTCACCAACATGGGCTACAACAGGAAAACAGTTCACATAGTGCCACCCATGAGTGCAGATTCCTGTAGTCTTATCCAATAACTCAGGGAGCCCTGTAATACTCCTCAGGTTCACCCTCACCTGTGCTAAGAGAAGCCCTGATTCTGAGGCACCTGGGGTACTGGGTGTGCCAACACGAGGTATAGGTAACATGAGGCTGGGAACTCAGTGCTGATGAATTTTGGCAACTAACGTCAGGTGAGAAACATGTTGTATTCTCTACTTAAGGCTAAGTTTGGTTGTGGCCAGCCTTGTTGGGGTTAAAACAGAGAAATTTCCTGAGGAAATAAGAGACCCCACTGCTTATCCCAACCAGTGATTGGATGGAGTATGTGTGGTATAAGTGACAAGGACTGTGAAATTGTGCCAGAGGGCACTGGCTGAAGAGTTTTCTGTTAGGTTAGTGTCCTTCACCTGTGTTGCAACCTCAGGTTAGTAAGGCCCAGAAAATGTCCCTACCCTGGCTCTCAGGGCTCTGCCCTCCAGTTCAATCATGTGTCCAGTGGCTTCAACCAGACACCATGCACTTCCTGGGCTTCCCACACTCCACAGGTCAGCCCAGCCTCAGACCTGCAGCCAACTCTGTTCCAATTCTCTTCTAAGGAACTCCAGGCCAAGAACATCACACTAGTGTGTCTGGCAAATGACTTCTACCTAGCTGCCAGGATAGTGCCAGGATGGTGTTATCACACCCCAAGGTGTGATCACCAAACCTCCAAAGCAAAGCAACAATATTCATTGTCAGTAAGAACTTCTTCTCTGTCACATTTATTCTTACCTTGCATTTCATTTTTAATCACTTCAGTGTTTTCAGTGTGGGAAGAAAGGAATCCTGACACTCAGTGAAAAACTGGATGCCACAAACACTATCCTTTCTGGCATCATTCCTGGGCCAGCTTTAAAAAAGCAGTTTTTGGGCTGGGGATTTAGCTCAGTGGCATAAGCGCCTTCCTTGCAAGTGTGAGGTCCTGAGTTTGATCCCTGGTACCGATAAAAACGAAAAAGACAAAAAAAAAAAAGCAGTTTTCCCAATTCTCCACTGTACTGCTGAGCTCTCACTTTGGTAGCTCATAACAAATAGGTCTCACATTCTCCTCATATGGAATCTTCAAAAAAGATCTAATCATGTGCTATCTTCCACTTAAAATGTGCTGTCAGTGTTTGCTTATGTCTCTCTAGGCTAAGGGCCAGAGTAAATTCCATTGTAAGACTCTAACTCTGTGTCATCCCATCCACCAAATTCCCTGGGACATGAAGGAGTGTGCCTTGCGGACCCTGATCCTTAGCAAGAAGTTTTTCCTTCAGAACAAACCCTGGGAATGAAGTCTTTTCTTCCTACGAAAAGAGAGAAGCCTTGAATGAGGATGGGATGTGGTCCTGAGACAGGAGCCATCAAGGAATGAAGGGAATCTATGAGCTAAGCTGTGGCCTGGAGGGAAACGGGCCTATGAGCCATGGCCAAGTTCTAACAGGAACACAGTTGAAAGTTCCCCCATTCCAACAGGGGACCCACTCAGGCGACCCTTTGCAGGTGGGGGGGGGGTCCGTGCTTTGTTAACATCTGGAAGTCATGGAAGGGTCTGGAAGATAAAACATGCCAGAGCATCGCTCAGACAATCACAATGCTCAGCAGCTAGGAAAGAACTAGACAGGACTAGAATCAGGAAAACAGGTAACATGTCACCTGAGAAATCCAGAATGCTGAGGGCCTTCTCAACCAACTGAGGGAGCCTGTAAAACTCCTCAGGTATAGCTTACCTATCTCAGGACAAATAATGACTTTGAGGCAAAAGGGATGTATGATCACATGGCCTAAACCTCAAAGTGAGGTTAACATTAGTGATGGAATGTGGCTGGGATGTCCAGTGTGTTCAATGTTCACAACTAAAGTCAGGTGAGGGGCAGGTTTGTGTACATTTGACTAAGGCTGAACCTAAGCATGGCCAGACTTGCTGTGGGCTTAAGACTTGGGGGTAAGAAGGTCAAATGAGAAGTGGCCCAGTGCCAGGCACAGAATGGGTGAATCTATCTCAGAATTTAGTTGAGGATTAGAGTCAGCTCAGGTTACACAAAGTCAAGGCAGGGTAAGTGAGACTTGAAGTCTAGAGGAAGGCCAAAAGTTTAGAAAGACACAGCCATCCCAGACATCCCATTCCACTGCCCCAACATCCTGCCATATGCAACCACAATCCACTGTGCAGCTAAGACTAATACCAGCCAGGGTCTACAACCTATAGGGTTTGCTTCCTAGTGGTCCCAGCCCTGTCTAACTATGTTAATCTGTAAAGCCCAGGACATGGAGCCATCACTGTCTCTAGTTCATCAGGGCTATGGCAATTGCCTTCACCAGCATTGTTTAGTGGCCCCACCAGATCAGTGACAAAGCTCACTAAGTCAGGGAACTTCCTCAATAATGGGACAGACAGAAAGAGGCCCCTCAGAGCCTCACCCCAGCCACATTAACTGGAATCCCCACCTCTGAGCTAGAAGGAATATGTAGAAACTTGAATTTCACAGCAACATGGTACATACATTTCATGGAGAAGAATTCTGTGACCCATGGTGGGAGGGGAAGACCCCATTTGTCTTTATTTCAGTGACCCTGTTTAATACAATGCCAAGGTTCCCAATTCCCAGCGGTATGGAACACTAACCTCCTCTTTATGTTTCAGAGAAGGCCCTGGACATAAGATGCCTAGAATAAAGGACGTGATGTGGGATGTGGACTCAGAGATCTCTGTGGAATATATTCATCAGAAGAGCAGTTCCAGAGTGCGCAGATGAGCAGGTCCAAAGTATGAAATCTACAGATCTGACCCAGACAGGGGCCCTAACTAGACTCTGAGGAGGAGAGAGCCCAGCCCAGTCAGGCAGAGCCCATGCTGAGCAAATATCCTTTCCCCACTGGAGAGTCTCCGAAGGAGACAAATTGTGATGAAAAGGGACTCCTTAGGTAAAGACATTTCCCAGAGAGGAAATATCAAGCCAAAACTATTCCTAGAAAGAGACTGTAAATATACAGAGAGCTCCAAGACAGAACTCGGACAGGACAAGCTGTCAGGAGGCAGGACCAGGGTAGTGGGGACCAGAGATACTTGTATGGGAGGCCACAGCATAGGGAGGTCATAGGAGATGTGGCGCACAAGTGTCCAGACACATAGATCCTAGGAACACAGGAAGTAGTAAGAGGAAATCCACAACCCATTCTCTACAACACTGTCACTCAAACCCAGAGTCCCTAAACCAGAGAACCTGTCTTACATTAATGTCAGGGGCCCACAGCGAGACACCAGGACTCCGGCTCACTTCCACTGCTCTGCCATGCAGATCGTTCTAAAGCCACCTCCTCAATCCCCTGTTCCCACCACCCTCTGAGAAGTTCTAGGCCACACTGTTGTGTCTAATAAGAGACTTCTATCCAGGAGCCATGATAGTGACCTGGAAGGCAGCTGTTATCACCCAGG